GCTTCCGCACTTGCATAGTGATGTGAGCCTTTTTGTGGGACACCCTGTGGCCCACAGAGCTTCAGGTGCGCGACCACTTTCTGCTTTGCTGACAGAATAGCTATTTTATGAATCATTCTCTGGCTAGATGAGCTGTATCCTTGTTTACTGATAAGCCCCTGTGGGTCCAGTTCCCACTGGTGGTGTTAGGGATGGCATGGGTGTGTGGAGCAGCTGTAGCCAAGTAGGTATGCAAAAGCGTTCGACTGCTGGCAGAAAGGGTGACGGTTCGAACCCACCCAGGGGACGCCTCAGGTTTCAGGCCTGGTGCTCGGTGTTGAAAGGCCAGGCGTTCAGAACCCTGTGGAACATTTCTGTTGTGCACACACGGGGTTGCCATGGGTTGGAATCAGCTCAGTGATACCCAACAAGAACAAAAACAACATGTATGTAAAATCCGCTTGTTGGTTCCTGGGGAGCATTGTTTCTTCAATAGGTAGATAATTCCGTTAATCTCCTTTTCCATGTACACGATCGTATTGTCTGAAAATAACCTTAGTATTTTTGTCTGCCTTTGTAATGTTTATGAATTGTCCTTGTAATGATGCTTTTGGCTCAGTTCTAAAATACAAACTAGAGGAGGAGGCTGGTAGATTTTGGTACATCCTTGATTTGTTGATTAGTCATGAACTTCATGTCTTGTCTTTCCAGGAAGTGGGATCATAAAATCATAAATACATCTAGGACTTCAAGTTTCATGACGTGACAAGGTTTGTAATGTTATTTCGAAAAGAGAACATGTTGGTTTTATGGAGGTCGTTTCTCCCGTGAATTCCTTATCGTCTCTGTTTGTGGAGAGAACATGTTGGTTTCATCGAGGTCGTTTCTCCCGTGAATTCCTTATCGTCTCTGTTTGTGGAGAGAACATGTTGGTTTTATGGAGGTCGTTTCTCCCGTGAATTCCTTATAGTCTCTGTTTGTGGAGAGAACATGTTGGTTTTATGGAGGTTGGAGGTCGTTTCTCCCGTGAATTCCTTATCGTCTCTGTTTGTGGCGAGAACATGTTGGTTTTATGGAGGTCGTTTCTCC